TGCAATTGTAAGCTATATTACATACCGACGACCATTAAAGTAAATTCAAAGCCTTTTTTAACAGTCTTTCTGTGGATCTGATTCGGAAGATCAGAGAAGCCGACGAAGACATCCGAGTCTTTGGCGAGAACCGGCTTATTATCGTCTACACGAGCCGTATGTGTCATATTGTCGACGCGATCCCTATCTCTCGACAAATAGATGTCTTTAGTAACGGGACTGGAGTTCACGATCGAGTTGTTTGTCGTCGGGTTATCACGAAAAAACAAATCACGTTTGGCGTTGAGCTGACAAAACAATATACCAATTATTAGTTACAAACCTTTTAAACTAACAAATCATTTCTATTTAACGCTTTTATGCTTTCATTCATTGAATTCTTTAAGAAATTGAGACTCAAGTGAAGTGAAAAGAAAGTGATTGAATATGAGGTGACATTTGTTACTAGTGTTTCACAAAATGAAACAAAAAAAATTGTAAAACAATACAAGTGTTTGGTTTAAAAAACACTTTTATGTTAAAAATTTTCTTCTCATTTATAGACTTTAAGTTATAGTGATTACAAAATACAAACGCTTTACTGATAGAAACGAAAACATTTTCGTGTTTTATTCAAACACAGGACTAAAGTTTAAGAAAATATTCTTAACGTTGAGTTCAGTGTATTTTTAGTAACAATTTTGATGTTTGGATTAGCTTTACATTAGTTTTTAAAAACTCGTGCAAAAAACCATGAAATCAAAAGAGCAATGAATGGAAAAAGTATTTGACTCTTATTTATACAATAAATCTTGCATACAGTATAAGACGGCAAACATCTGATAAGCAAACCGATTGTAATTCAAATGTTAAATCAAAAGCAAGTCTTAGATATATGGCATACAAATAGCAATCACTTGTAAAAGTGTCACAAATGAAAATGCCATTCAGTACTCACTGATAAGTTCTCTTGACGTGAATCGGGTGAAGAGATCAGTGGGATCTGCGGCTCATAAATCTTTTGCCTCTGATTTAAGCGCTCGACCCCTGCGAACCGATACCCCGAACCGCCGTATGTGGGGGTTGTGGGCGTCCGAGCGCTGCCCGACTGGGGAGTGGTTGGCGTCGGAATCGGCGATAAGTCGCGCAGGAATTGCTCCTTAAGAGCCGACGATTTGGGAACACTGATGGGCGACGGCGGCGGAGGCAGTGTTTGTATTATCGGTTGACCGATATCTATAGACTCATTCAAAGAGCTCATGGGATATGCATCCCTAGTAGGGGTTTGTCTGCGTACGGCACCCGCCTGTTCCCAACCCGCCACTAGTGTCTGAAATGCTCCCAAATCTTTCGGTACATTTCTGACGGTATTTGAGTTAAAATACATATCGAGAGGATTTAATAACACAAAAATTTGTGTCACTGTATCACTTAAACCATCAATTTTAGCACTTTTACGATATATTTATATGAATCCAAAATCAAAATGCATTTTCCAAACAAACTCATGAAGAGAAACATTTTTTGAAGAACTAATCACAAGAATTAGTGAAAGATCCTAAATGTAAGGCATAAGATGTGAGTGACTCTAAGAACTATGTCTGAAGATTTGTTTGATTCAAGTCGTGTAAAGCAAACCGAAAAGCAGATGTTCACAGAAATACATGAATAGATGAGTGAGAAGTGGTCTCCACGAGAGGCAGAGACGATGTGAGCATCAAATGTATCGCTACTATAGCTCACAAACCCGGGAGTCGAGGCATAAG